AATGTCCTAGAAGCTTTACAGTATAGTAGGTGGCAATTTCAAAATGGGTGCGAATCATTGTTCTACAGAAATGCAATATACATACGGTGACCATCCGTTCTGTTTTTTGCAGGACCGTACTGTTATTTAAAGGTCTGTCCTGCGTAGTTTTTCAAAACATAAAACCCCCAAAATGTACTGATTTTTTCCAAGTGTCCTGCCGTTGCCCCGCATTTTCTTCGATATTTTAAAATTAACTTTTCCTAATCGAAATAAAAGCAGTGTCGATAACTAATTGATAACTACATAAGGGTAAGCTGGTTTTGAAGGTTCAACTATTCAATGCGTTCAATGCGTTCTAAATATTGTACTGTTATGGACAATGGATGACGAGAAATTGAAGGCCAGCATCAAATATATCGATAACATTGTTCTACAAATTTTGTGGTAATCGCTTAAGAAAAAAAAAATTTCCAAGCCAATTTTCCTTTCAAACAAGCGTTTTCGTTATTTTTTCGAAAAGCGTGTTTTTAGTACATTTCGAACCTATTCGTCGATGTCATAAAAAAATTATCCATCAACATAAGCGACCTACAGTCTCTTACAAAAATATATTACTTTGCCGATTTCGATGAAAATTATTAGTGTTACAAGCGACCAAAATCGAAAAATTGAAATTTCAATCATTTTCGTTTTACAGCAAATGAAAATCTGATGAGAAATGTAGATGTTACGGAACACAATCTGCACAACAAATATATATTTTTGCAAAGAGCCCATCAAACCTTTCGAAATGTTGGTCGTTTCATGAGATATTGAGGAATAACTGAAAAAGTATTAAAAATACGTTTTTCGAACAAGTCTCGAAAACACTTCTTTGAAAACATGGGTATTTTTCGTGTTCAACGACCCAAAGTTTGCCTAAAAGAATTGCTTTACAGAGGTTCATATTTCGTGTAAAGTAATATGTAATATGCCTTATTATAATTTTGTAAATATTCATTACTAAAAGATTAATACCAATGAAGCAAATGTGATTTATGTTTAAAGTTTAAAATTGGATTAATAATTAAGAAATATACACTCCTCGTTATTTGAATAGCGCATCCTTTCAATATTTAGTAGGTACAGTTTTCCTTTTGTTTGTTTAATATTCATTAACTTTTTATAAAAATATAGCATATTCTACGTCTACATCCCATTTAAAAAATTTTCGAAAAAAAAAAAAAATAAACATATGGGCGACATTTTTTTTTTGTTGACTGTGCTGCGCATTTTCTTCGATATAAAAATTTTGTCAAGCATTCTTTGTATGGTAGAAAATCAAAAAAAGGGGGCGCTATTCAAATGACGAGGAATGTATTTATGTAGTATATTTTTGTTATTTTTATACTACGGAATTATATGTAGGTAAATTTTTTGAAAAATTGTCCTGCATTTTCAAAATATATTTATGGTCACCGTAAATATACATATACTTATTTTAGACGAAATACCTTAAAAGTTTGAACGCATAATAATATTGGAAAATCACATCCATTGGGACAATTGCAACGCAGGAGCGTTCGATATACTCAATGGTGCAACAGGTCGTTTTAATCTGACCTTCACGGTCACTTTTCTCACTTGGCTATTTTTAGTAATAGTATTTTTAGTAATAGTATTGCATACATATTTAAAACATTAGCCAAATCGGATCATAAATAAGATTTTTAGTAATAACTCAACTACAGCGCCAACTGTCGGATTAAATTGTGAAACTAAACCATCCAGAGACCCACTCAAATATACAAAAAGTTTCGTTAAAATCCGTACAACCATCTAGGAGGATTTCACTCACAAACACACCTACAGAAGAATAAAAAAATTCATTCAAAGATAGCTAAAGGTCGGTACGTTTGTAGGCCTCACACCCCTTTTCAAATAGCCCAAATTTTCTCCAGGAGTATGGCCTTGATTTCAACTATAT